ATTCCAGTGAGGCGTTGAATAACCTGAACTTCTGCACCAGATCAGAGAAACAGAATGAAGATAGTAAACCTGCATCTAAACTTGCCCCGCAGAGCATTTACATTTTGGTTTTCAGCACCTGAATGATGATTTGGATATGTTCCCCTCTCCTGACCATCCATTAAACATACTCCAGTGTGTCACTGTCCATAGTAACCAGCCAGTGTACCTCTCTCTCTCTCTGTTTAGTAGCCCTAAATGGTCTACTGCATCTAGCTAAAAAGAAGCAAAGCAAGCTGCATATAACAGACCGGGCAATGGTTAGAAAAGTCCTGGACTCCCTTTCATTTTCATGCACACCACTATTAATTTCTGTAGGGTGTTTGTCTCCCGGCTACATTAATGTCAGGTTCGCTGTCACTCCCTTACCTTTCTTTCTTTGGAGGAAAAGTCCTGAATTGTAGTGCAGTTCCTGCAGCTGTCTGGATGATTTTTTATCAGAGGCTGTTGCTGCTGCTGGAAAAAGCTGCTGTTCTCCAGATCCCAAGTGGCTGAGCTGGGCTCAGTTTTTCAGCATCACTTTAGCACCCTAACTGGAGGGAGAAGGACTGGAGGGAGTGCTCCAGGGGATGGTCCCCCGGAGGATATTTACTGGATCAGAAGACTGACATGATCCAAAGTCAGGTTATAGAGCCACAGCAGCTTTCCCCCTCTGGTGAGATGTGCTCTTCTCCTGACAGTCTCAGTTCACGCTAAGGAAAAAAGCTGTCTCCTACTCCCACTTGCTTTTCTTGCAACTTGCAATTCATAGACTTGTTGGGGTGAAAGGGGCCTCGGGTGCGACATCTAGCCGTGGAGGCTAGTGAGTACATTGAGCCGACCCATACTGTTTTTACATAACCTCAAAATAATAGATAAAGGGGAGTAATACACAGTAAAAAGGAGGGCTTGAAAATGTCTTAAGACAGCAGATTTGAAAGTGAGCCTCTCACTCCTGCAATAGAAAAAAAGCCAGACAGAAAAAATGAATCTTTTTCCTGATCTGAGATTTCTTTTAAAGTGTTCTCTTTCCCATCCAGAAGGGGCTTTTCTTTTCTTTATATTTTATTATTTCTCTATTGATTCTTCCTCCCTGCCTCTCTCTCCCTCTCCCTCAGTAGCTGTTAAGTTGCAGGTTTTCTTTCTGTAGGACTCACAGATAATTGGCTCACTCCTCCTTCAAAGTCAGTGTCAGAGACAGTAGAGGGAGGGGTACAGACTACAGAGGAGGTGGGATCTAGTGCTTATTGAAAGCCCTTTTTTACACAAAGTTCTTGGGCACTCCAAACCAGGAAGTCTCGTCCTTCCTACAGGAGACAAGCCTGTATGTACATGTGCATGTGCATGTGCATGTGGTGAGTGAGTGTGTGTGTCCACGTGCACGTGTACGTGCATGTGTGTGTGTGAGAGAGAGAGAGGTAGAGAGAGAGTGCTATGATTCCTGTTATTGTACAGCCTGTAAATTCATGAGTTTTTTCAAACCAGTTTTTCCCTTCTAATGTTTTACTGTTTTCTTTTAGAGAGAGTTGGGCTGATTCATTAACTAAATAGAGGTTTTCTGTCACTAATTTCTTGTCATCTTTTTTTGAGATATAGCAAACTCTTGCCACCCGGAGACACTGCAGCTGTTAGGAATGCAGTTAGTTCTGATTAAGAACTAAGAATAAGTATAAAAAACATTTAATGGCTTACAATTATTACTGGGTGACACATTTTTTTTTTATTTTGGTGGGCAAACATAAAACTTGGGAAAAATACTGATTTAGATCAAAGTGAAACAGATTGTTTTGGGGGGGTGGGGGTGGGGTTCAACATAGAAACTAAAAATATTCATTTTGGGACAACCCAAAACACTTCAGCCACTTCAAAATGAAATGTGCTCTTTCACGTGGTGGTTCTTTGACCCCTTTTGATCATTTTTTTCTTAATTTTAGAACAATTTCTAAATTTAAAACATTTTCATTCCTGAAGTTTCACTTAGAAAATGTTGGAATGAAATGATTCAGCATATCCAAAATGAAATATTTCATTTAAAAATGTAGAAAGGAATCCTGGGACATTTAAAAATATTCTTTACTCCCTTTTCACCTTGTCGTGACCCAAGGGTATGATTGTGTGTGCACTTTGGCACTGCAGAATTATTTCCCGCCATGGGGAGCTTTCTTTGCACGGTGCATTTCTCAGTTGCATAGAGAAAACCCCGGTGCAAAGGAGTTCCCGCCATTCGCATGCAAATTTGTGTCCCACTATTGGCTGTTTCTAAATTATTCCCACGTGGCGGCTAGCGATTGGCTTGCTAGCCGTATAAGAGGCTTGAGCGGTTTCCGCCCAAGTTGGAGATCTCCGGGGAGGACCTCATTTAGGAGGACTCCACATCCATCTCGTGAAGAACACTAAGCGCTGCAGAGCCTAACAAACCCAGCGTGTGCCTTAAGAAGGATACAGGGGCCTGATCAACCTCTAGCCTCTCCCCGTCGCCGCCTGATCCCTCGACGTACCCTTCCCTGCGCGCTCGGTCCACGGAGCCTAGCAAACTTTGTGTGTGTGTGTATCCAGAGCTCCTTCCGGGTTTAAGAGGCTCGAGTTTTCTACGGGTCTTGTTCGAGCGAGTTTTGTAACTGCAACTTAAGCGAAGCTTTTTCCTGCCTGCACCGTGACCATCTACGGTGTAAGTAACATCATCTTTAATCAACCGCTACGCATCCGTGCCTAATTCTAGTCCGCCGTGCCGAATTCCCCGACCCATGTGCCAGGGCTGCTGGCCACAGCCCTCCGCACGCCCCCGAAAGCCTCGGACCGCTCCTGGCCCGCACACACCCGAAATTATTCGTCAAATTTAATTCAAATTCATAACTAGTTTCAGTTGCCCTGTCACTCCTTGTTTCAGAGAATTTACTATAAATTGAAAAATTTCATTCAAATAGGTAACTTCATTTTGACTCAGGACCAATACATGAATCCATGTTCTCTCATAGACCACACTCCTAAAGTTCCTGATCTCTTCTTGCTGTAGGAAGACCGCTTTCTACATAAAATGATTGTTTATACTGTCCCTACCACCATTTTCCTGCTCTGTTAGGCCCACGCACCTAACCTGTGCATAATCAGTCATCTCTGAAGCAGGTGACATCTGGTCACATGTACCCATACACTGCTGTATGTACATGGCTACTGTTTGCCAGTCCCTTCTAACTCCTTTATAATGTACAGTAATGGGTGGTGAGTCACTGCATAAATTCAGCTCCCTTCAGAGGGATATTAGGACTTCTTCAATGACAGTCTCTTCCATTGAGTCAAACCTTCCATCTTGGCACACAGTGTGGTAGGGTGTTGGTAGCTCAGAAATTGTTATTTAATTGTCATAAGACGACCCTGACTTCTGGTGTACCAGATCAAACTGACAATGGGCACATCTACATGAGACATTTCACTGCACAGTAGAGAAAATTACGGTGCAGTAAGCATCACCATCTACATGCGCAGATGCTTACTGTGCAGTAATTTGCTCTACTCCGCAGTTAATTTGCTACCTGCAAAAGCACTTAGTAAATTAACTTCAGAGTAGTTACTGTGCAGTAAGGCATATGTAGCTGGCCGAGTGGGAGCAAATTTGCTCCCAGTAAGCCAGCCAGAAGGGGGCAGGAGATTGCTCCCTGCCCCTGGGAGTTGCATGCTGCCGGGGCAGGCTCTGGTAGAGAAGCTTGGGATGGGACAGTGTTCCCCTCCCCTGACAGCAGGGAGTTCTTGGCTCCAGTTCCACAATTGCTATTAGGGAAGTCTCCACATGCAGTCCAGAGCTGGCTGGAAACTGTCCTGGTCTGGGACAAGTCCCAGCCCTGAAGCTCTTTCCCAGCCTCATTCCCTGATCAGGCAAGTAAGGCATGGGGCTTGGAAATAGCTGTGGGGGAGAGGTAGATCCCAACCCCTCCCCTGCAGCTCTTTCCAAGCCCCCTGCCCCTGATCAGGGAGCTGGGGTCGGGAGTTCCTTGCTGCCAGGGCAGGGAGACATTGTCCTAGCTCAGGCTCTGCCATTGGAGCCCATGCTGGCAGCAGGCAGCCCCTGGAGGCAGGAAGCAATCTCCCAGTTCCCCCTAGAAGACAACTGTCTCCTGGCCTTGTTCCCTGCCAGCCCCTGGACTAGCACCCAGAGGGAGCCTAGAGCTCCCCATGGCTGCTGCAGGGAGACAGAGCAGGGTGGGAGCAGCCCTGTTGAGGCTGCTCCTACTGGGAGCAAATCTGCTCCCAAATGCCTGCACATGTAGATGTCTGCCCAGGCTGAGTTTACTCTGCAGTAAATTACTGCAGAGTAAACCCATCCAGCAGCATTTGCACATGCAGACATGCCCAATGAGTCAGTAGCAACTAAAAATCTGTCAGATCTTACAGCTATTCATTCAGTGGTCTAAATAAAATGAGTATAGGGGCCTTCAGCTCAGGTCTTATTAGACAAGGATTGACATCACAAAGTCAGCATGATAAAAGAAACGTCACTGGCAGTAGCAGCAAAGAAGTCAAGAGCCAGAAGGCTATGGTGAATTAACTCTCCTTTCACTCAAGTATGCCTATACTGAGCATGTTTGAGGGATTAGTCTGTTCTGGTGAGGCTCCACCTCACTTATCAAAGGAAGAGTCTGCCGTGTAGCCAAGATTCCAGTTATGTCACTATCCTGATATCTAACCTTACTAAAACTCTACTTTAAACCAAATGCAGGTCCAGAAGAAATAGATAAAAGCAAGGTTACAGCTCAAAAAACTTGCCTAGCCAGGTCAAAACCAAAGACTTGGCTATCTTTTGCTGAAGGCACTCAGATACCATAATGATAGTTGCTTGGTGGGAATCTAGATGGGATAAAATGTCCTCCAAACTATGGGTTTTCAAAGTAGTTCCTTCAAATTATACCAAGAGATAATTATGGGGGATAGACAACATCAAGTGCATTGGGATCCACTTAATATCATCTTACGATTAATGAAATATGAACTATTCATACAAGTAAAGCTAATAGTTCAACACAAATTCTTCAAACCATTCGAAGAATGTCATTTGCATTTTTTATTTATATTGTTGTTTCTGTTCATAGCTCATCAAGTCATGAGAAGAGGAAGGATGGCTCAGTGCTTTATGTACTCACTTGGTGCTCAGGAGGTCAGACTTGAAAAACTCTTTGCCTCTCCACAGACTTCCTATGTGCCTTTGGGCACATGATTCAGTTTTACTATATTTCACCTTTCCATCTATAACATGGGAATGATAGCACTTCCTAATCTCACGTAGGTATTATGAAAATAAATGTACTGAAGATCCTGAGGCGCTCAGATGCTACAGCAATGGCAACAGTCCTTTAAGAATGTCAGACAGATAAGCTGTGATCTAGAAAGTAAAGTTAACTAAAGTGTGTAAGGAAACCACATTTCATGGCTCTCTGCTTTCCTGGTACTGTTTAATGGAAGTACATTCAGTATGGTACAGAGGTCCACATTAGTGGGTGGATCTCAATGAAGGAAGTTAAGATTATAGCCAAGATGAAATAAATATATAACTCTCTCCCCCCAACCAATTAGAGAACATTATTTTCACTTTTTGTCTCTGTAAGACTAGTTGGTGAATGAGGTCAGCAGTTTCTAAAGAAAGGTCTATTTAACTCTTCTTGGTCATAATGATAGTGTCTGCAATGTGGATTTCTAGTCTGGGGCTAAAGTACAAGGCATGGTGGGGAAGTGCATAGTTTTTAAGGGAGTTAATTGTAATTGAACAAAATCAGCAGCCATTTTTCTTGATAGGGCCTGAAAAATAACATTTCTTTTTTCCAGATACTGGCTGGCCATAAGTCTGAACATTAGGGCTGTGCGAGGCTTCAGACCGTGCTTCAGATCCGGAGACGCTTCGGACACTTTGGCATCCGAAGCAGCATGTCCAGATCAAAGTGCTGGCTTCGTTTGGCTTTCCGGAAAAGCTTTGGAGCAGCTTCGTAGATCCGGCCATAGGCACTAATGGGGAACCAATGAAATATCTATAACTTTGTTGTTTTTTGTCTGATTTGGATGACACTTGCAGGGGTGGTAGGCTCTGCTGAGAGCATGAACCCTGACAAGTTTTCAGGG